TATTTGGGATGGTGGTAGTGCCAGTGGTCGATTTTTACTACCACGTGTGTGTTTATCAACTTACTAAATTAATAACAGATGTTAGAAGTTACAGCCTTTTTTCTTTTCTACAGCTCAAAATGTTGCCTTGTGATACGAGGCGCGTAAAACACCATTTCATATTGATCATCTCTCCTTATAATATCCGAGTACAAATTCAATGTACTAATCATTCATTCTCAGATTTTAATATTTCAAACATAAACATTTTCAACTTTCTTAACACGTCGTTGTCATTCGTTTTTCTTCTGTGCAAAACATTTGCGAATGTAGTATATTCTATATGTAGGTAAAATTGCGTCAAAATGTTCTCCTAATAAATGTAGGTCTGATCGTAAAAATAGGCTTAATGTTACTTAACCGTAATTTTCCAAATGTCGAACATTTTTTGTTTATTGATAATAACATATTTTATAATGGTACCAATCACATAAAAGATCATTTCTGTACAATTAGAATAATGTATAAAATACGAAAACTGATGAACATTTTATGTGAACTTGTGAAGTACAGTCATGGAAGCATGCGCAAAATAGTGACATAACGTCATTATAAGCCTTCAATGTACATGCAGACGCCTTCTGTGTCACCTATTAATGTTAATGGCCGGGGGAACAGATTTAAACACTGATTTGACAGGTATAGTGTGTTTTCTGATAGCAACTTTGTTTATTCCGATAGTTTCCTGGATAAGGTGATAATTGACTGCACTGTAATCATGTGCTTATGGGCTCTTAACTGGTTGCCACGACGCTCGAATACAGTCGAGTAGACCTATACTCGTCATGCGATTACTTGGTGAAAGAAACTAGAAATCTGGAAAGATTTTGGAAAGGTTAAACGTAAACTGTGAAGTTTTTTAGTTTATACATAAGAGAAGATGTACTGTATACTGTGAATGATGACAAAAATGACAAAAAAATTGACCAAGTCTTGCTGAAAAAGGTTCATATGCATTACACACAGAAAGAACATGAGCCTACACACAGAAAGAACATGAGCCTACACGCAATTATTGTTAGTCCAAACTTTTCAGCTATTTCTTGTCATGTTTTGAATGCGATGGCATTTGAAAATCAATCCTATTTAGGGGATATTTCTATCGTGATATTCTTACAAGCCGAGAAAGCCCACAAATTATTTCACACCTTTATAAATATACCACAACTCCATCTTCTCATGAAAAGTCGCCATTGCCTACGATGTCCACGATTTATCTCTTCAGATTTTATCGACGCATTGGCCCGAATTCACAAAGAAGGTTTGTCGACAAACCTTGGTTTTCGTGCGTTTCGACGCGTTTTTACAAACCAGTTTTTAAAAAACGCGTAAAAACGCGTCAAATGACGTACGAAAACCAAGGTTTGTCGACAAACCTCCTTTGTGAATTCGAGCCTTTGTGTTTGAAATTCAGTCGAATTACCAGTTGTTTGCGGAGTATTGGCTTAATAGCTTTGTACATTTATTTGATAAGAAGGGATAAATGAGGGATTACATTTGACTTTTATGGGGGTATTATACCAGCTATACAGAGTTAGTACACATTTGTTAACTGAAGAGAAGGTTTAGTTGTGGGAAAGATGAAACAAAAAATTGCTAGCTTTTTAAATTATTTTCACGTTAGTATAGGCCTACGGAAAATTATCATACGACAAAATATCAACTGGAAGGGATGGCTCTTCAAGTGCCCTCATATTCGAAATATGACAAGCAACAGCTGAAGGTTGTGGGCAAAAACATTCTTGCCACATGTCTGAGTAGTCCCAAAAATTATCAGCCTGCATAATTTTGTGTACAACGCATGTGATTCCTAGCAAAACAGCCGATTCACTCCAAAACCTCACAGTATCCACCAATAGACCTACTTACATTGTACATGTATGAGTTATACATGATCAACCTTTCCATCAATCTCTTCTACAGTTTGTTTTACCAAGATTGGTTTTACATAGCAATGGCATGACCAGAACCCAACTTAATGCTGAATTTAAACCTTTTTTTCACGGGGCTTTAGCCCTTTCCTGTTTTCATGTAAAGCGCAGTTTTGACGTTTTGACTAATGCTCTTGTAGATGTGAATCTTTTTTTTGAAGCAAACCAACATAAAAAGCATACAAAAAACGAAAAGAATTTACAAATTTAAAAAAGGTAGGGTCCGACCCTTTAGCCCGACGACAATACATATACATTATACTAAAAACTTCTCATAATCTGATATTTTCAGCATTGTATTAACATAATCAAACTCTTTTGACTTTCGGCATTTCAAACCTCCTTTTTTCGGACAATGGGAAATCAAATAACCGTAAATCCGCAGTAATTAGGACACTAATGGAGCAATTTATGAAAATCTGTGTGCACCGGATAGAAAGAATGAATCTTATTAAATTTCCACATCAAAGTCATACTATGGGAATTTCTTTTTTCACCACATGAATCATTTTATGACATGCGTACTCCATGTAGCCTCGTCTGGAAACAAACTTCCTTTCTTTCACAATATTTGTCTTCAAAATTTGATTTGATTTGATTTGATTGATTGATTTTTTCATTCACCACTCATGGGTAAGAGTGCCCTTGTCAGCTTTTACATGTACCTGTTTTTCAAAATTGTAGTAGACTGCGTCTTTTTCATTGTTATTTTGAGCAAGTGCAAGGCTATAGGCCTATTGTAATTATTGTAGTCATCATTGATCAAATACTTTTCTGTCTGTTTCTTGTAAAATAGAGTGTGCGAAGGAGATGTCAGATTATGGGGACATCTTTCCCCAGAACATGAGCTTTCATACCTTATTTGTTTTGATGTCGTTTAATTATTTTATTTGCTGATGTTTCTTGCTTGAAGGTTTTAGACTAAATAGAATTGATAGCTCGATCAATTGGCTTATGAATGGACTATTCGTATACCGTTGCATGATTTTGTTGGATTGTAAATTTATAGAATTCATATCTACGGGTTCCTTGCGTCTCGGAACGTTTGAGCAGCATAATTCACACGGTCATGGTGGAGTTGCGACAACCTTTACGTACATGTATATTTTGAGAGAAAAAGTATTTATTCAACGATTTATCCATGGGGCTATGGGGCTATTCGCCTCAAAAGAAGAGTTCGGATATCACAAAAAACATCAACATCTCTTACCAAACCTTGTCGGTTCTCTCAGTGCATGGCCACCTAACTTAACATTTATTCAAGTGATTACACGGAAGGGCTTGAAATGAAGAGGCAGTTTTATCCAAAAAGGTAATACGCAGAGGCATTGGTGCAATGTGGGGGGGGGGGGGGGGGGGGCACCCGTGCCCCTCGAGACTCTATTGGTATACCTTAAGCTACACTCACAAAATTACCTTTAAGTTGTGTTAAATTCTCGAAAATATGCCCCCTCCCTTTTGCAAAATCATGGATCCGCCCCTGCAGGGAGGCATCGCCGTAGAGTGTTATGAATTGATGTGGGGAGGGGGAGGGGTAGGGGTAGGGGGAAGAGACATCGAGCAAAGAGAAATTCTGAAATATGGATACATATAAAGTGTTAGTTAGTATATGAGGCAGAAAGTATATCAAACTCCAAAAAAAGAATGGATGAAATGAACAAGGAGAGAGATAGAGAAAGAGAGGGGAGACAGTGACAAAGAGAGAGAGGGAGAGAGAGGGAGAGAGGGAGTGGGGGTAGGGTTTTAAAAAAAGGTTGAGAAAGGGGGGTACAGCGGGAAAAACACGGCCAGGGAGTATAGAGAAATGAAGAAAGGAAGATAGAGAGAGAAGGCGAGCGAGAGAAAGAGAGTTGGGGGGGGGGGGGGGGGTTCCGTCTCATGACATGTACAAAGTTTCTTTCCTACATTTCACGTCAAGGTATGTTGTTTACCTCTTGTCATGTTTCATCCAATGGATCGTGAATTTCCCACACCAATTCAATTTCAAATTTCCCAAGATTTATTCCCCCTTTTCTCAATCGCATTTGAGCGAACAGCACGGGATTGTCCGGTGAAAAAATAAGAAAAGGCAGGGATGGAAAATGGCTTCGGGTGTCGTTTTGCTTTGGGAAAGTTAACTGACCCAATTTTGAGAGTTGCCCCCATGAGAACCGAGGAGTGGGACTACAAGAGATGAATTGTGATCTGCAGATGCGACGGGACAGGTTATGGTAATAAAGAAAACAAGAATGGATGAAGCAAACTTGGGAATATGACTTTGACTTTTTTTCTGTCGACGTTTTGCTGTAATAATATTATTATGTACTGATGTATATCCAATGTCATTGTGTTTGTGTGAGTAAATGTCTCTAATTCTTATCATTTTATGCATATACAGTACAGTATGTCGCCGATTTCAATTATATCTCCCTAATAATTCCACACGTTAAATTCTGGGTTATTCTTCCTGAAGATTTATAACTATGATTTCACTGTAATTTCAAACTTCAGTTTATAAAGGAAATATCCTTATCTTTCTCCCAGCTGGAATCACCGTAGTAATACAATGTAGCTATGGGCGACACACTTAAGTGACATTCCCAGGGGCGGATCTAGGGGGTGTTTCTACGGTTTAACCCCCCCCCCCCCTCCTTTGGCGGCCATGTGAAAAAAAAGGGGGGGGGAGAAGAAAAAAGAAGGAAAAAAGTAAAATGGTAAAACGGCGCGATTTTTGGAAAATCGTGGATCCGCCGCTAGGTCAACCCCCCCCCCCCCCCTTGGCAAAAAGCTAGATCCACCCCTGTTTCGTGACCAGACTTTCTCTGCGCCTGTTGAATCTTGATTTTCTTAGCCTCGTATTCAACTCTATTTCAGCTCTATGTGATAAATCGTGTAGTTCTTGACGGGACTCTTACTACTCCTATATCTGTTTTTTCCCTCTGAGAATTTTATTCCTAAACTCTATTCCTTGATATTGATTTAACATGTTAAATCTTCTTTATCTGTGAAGATTTACAAGATAAATTTTACTCTTTTATTTTATTTTCACAGGGGGATAACTAAGAAAATTCATATTTCTAACCGGGAATCACCTTTGGAATAGCCATGGAAAATATACGGACAATACTGAAGCTTGTGACTGGACTGTCTGTGCTCCTGATGTGGAGCTTGGACCTAGCCTCGTGTTTTAACGTGGATCAAAGCTTACCTGTGGTCTACACGAGACCGGGTGGATCATACTTTGGGTTCTCTGTCTTGCTTCATGAAAACCTGCAAGGAAAATGGTAAGAAAACAATTAATTAAGTAAATCTGTAACTAATTAGGCAAACTTGTCATGAGTGTATAAGTGCTTTCGTTGACAATTATTATTTATTGTTCACAACTTCCTTTATTGCGCAATGAAAATCCCTATGAGATATTTTGTAATGTTAGTATTTCTAATTGGTATTTGTATGAGTATTTCAATAATTATTATTACATTTATTATTATTGTTAATAGATTACTGTATATTATCACTATTAGTTACTATCATGATTAGGCCTATTATTATTATTATTATCATCATCATCATTATCATCATCATCATCACCATCATCATCATAATAATAATTATAATCAAATTTAGCGCTTATATGTATTAGCTGTGAGCCTATTATATATAATGTCATCAAGTTTCAACATGTAGCATGACGATTATAAAACCAAAAATGAAGGATGATAATCATTTTTTTTCATCATCGTCTGATCATTCTATAAAAGCACTGTTTTTGCAATGTGCTGTAATCAAGGTAATTTGTGATCATTATTCAATAGATAAAATGATATTTTATCCGTAGGAATCGGTATATTCCAAAATTAGACCAATTTAAGCAAAATGTGACAGCACCGAGTATCAATTTTGGGTAATTGTATCATCAGATACTTGCCAACTTTTCACGATTACACATCCATCGTGTACTTACAATAACGGGTTCATATTAGTCTGCAGACACAGACTCGTATTTGACACGGAAACATAATTCCGTAGAGTCTTGAGCAGAGCCTAACTCTGTCAATATCTGGCTGTGTCAAATCAGGAGCAGCTACAGTACAGAGCCTTTATGGACTGTGGCCTCTGTATAGTCTTCGTGCTCAGACCCTCTGTTGTGCATTACGACTGAGTGACAAGGGTCTGTGCTGACAGACTAGGGCCACATCCGGGTTATCAATTTAATATCTAATTTGATTCTATTAATTTCATCGCCACCTGCTGAATAGGGCTCACAAGTTGGCCAAGAGATTTCAAAATGCTATTGATGAGCATGAGTCATTTTGGCAAGGTTTATAGGTAGACAAGGAGATCTAGACGAGCAGCATTCTCATTTTTCATCATGAAATATGAAAATTGGATTTGCATACCCGCAAAGATGGATATACCATTTTCTCTGAAACCCGAGTTGTAGCTTTTCATAAGGAAATGTGGAGGAGTACATGATTTAATACGGATTACCTTAGAATGCACTCGAAATGGTGAAACCAAACTCTTTAATCAAAATGTACTTTTTTCCTAATATAATAAAATATTAATAATATAAGATGCTAGTGTATATTTCTTTTCAATTCGTTCTTTTTAAAGGATCCACATTTAATACTAAATTATGTAGTAACATCTTTAATGACAATATTCTTTTTTTTTCATTCTTTAAAAGCGATTTAAGAAGGCGAATCATGTTTTTCACGCATTTGAAAATCGTTAATAACAATAGACAGGTTTGATTGTATTTCAAATAAGATACGAGATTCGTTGACATTACATGTACGTCGGTGTCAGGTAAAAATGTCAGAGGTGAACATTTTAAACATTTTTTTTACCTCTGACATTTTGCACCGAACCCTTATGCTCAAGTCCTTTTCGTCACAATTCGTGTGCTTCTTCTGCAACCGCTCTTGATCAGGTTCAGGAATAGGAAAATTAGCCTCGGATAAAGGGAGGAGGGGCGGCCCCAAAGTTGGCTGAATTTTTTAAATATTAAAACATAAGCCCATTTCTGTGTTTAGAAAGGAGATGTTAACATGTACATCCATTTGATTCCAGGGATTGATTATTTATACAGAGAAACGCTTGGCATTATTTAAATTGTATATCATTGAGATTCTTCTCGTGTATGAAATTTTATGAATAAAGTCATTGGCGTAGAATGGAGAACAAGGGCCAAGCCATTTAGTGAATGAAGTCGAATTTAAATGGCCACAAATTATAGGGAGCGTGCGGAGGGGTGCCTTCATATTGTTCATATTTTCCTTTTCTCCATTTCTCTCTCTTTCCTTTTTTGGTTCTTTCCCTGTAAAATATTTCTGATGTTCGCTTGGGACATGTAGCTTCGCCAGTACTTGTCTTGCAATGTGTACGTCCTCTTGATATTTCCTCTCAACATTCTACATCTCAACATTATTAATCGCAACATTCTACATCTCAACATTATTAAAGATAAACTTGAGTTGTGGTAAAAAAAAGAAAATAAATTCTCACAAAATCTAACGAAACTTACACTGAATATTCAAGATTACAAATAAATGTCATTTGCCGAACAATTTTTGGTAGAAAATGTATACTGGCTGAGTAATGAGGATAGAAATATAAGGAAATCAAGGTAAGTAGCCCCGACACCATTTGTGTAGTCCCATATATATCTTTCTGTGTATGGTGCTTGTTACTTTACCAAGGCTGGGCCAAATTTATTATGATTTTGATGACTCCAGAACCTTGCAGTACACACCAATACTTACATGCTACATGATCAACTTTTTCTGATCCATTCCACACCTTTTCTTTCACAATGCAATCGCATGACCAGAACTCAACTTTATCTTTAATCGCAACATTCTACATCTCAACATTATTAATCGCAACATTCTACATCATACGGTCATGTGCAGCTCTCAGCTCCTCTAGCTATGTTGCCTTTAAATGGATGCATAATGGGTTAACTGTCACTCGAAGGTGTGAGGGGAGCGCTGATTGCCCCTTTTATTGGCGTCTTCCTTCCCCTTTCCCAAAATAGACCAGGGTGCACCGTCATCCACAGCCGGGTGAGAACACGTGGGACCCATGCATGTTACCCATCATATGGAAGCTTACATGACGAAGTATTTGAACTCGGCAAGTCGACTTGTTTAGGACGAGAAGACGAATTATTTGAACCTGGAAAGTTGACTTGCTAAGTCGACTTGCTAAGTTCCAACAACTGGTCTTCTTGTTCTAAATTATCTCGTCATGTCGTCGGCACATTTATACGTTCACGAACAAGTATAATCGTTGACTCTTCTTATCTTCTTGTCTTCCTATCTCCCTATCTTCTTTTCTACCTATCTCCTTATCTTTGCTCATCTTCTCATCTTCTTATCGTCTTATCCTCAATAATTATCTCGTCATCTCGTCGGCACTTTTTAGCTACTTATACGATCACGAACGAGTATGATCGATGACTCTAGATCTACCTGTCGTCTGCTCACCATGGAGACTAGTCGCTGGAACGTGCGGCTAAAGATATATAACTGAGATCCTGTCCTTACGGACTTTATTCTGTCTGGTTAGAGCAAGGCATCTGTTCATTCCTTCTGTGAGGCGTAAACAGAGACAATACAGTTTTTAAAACCAACCCCCCCCCCCCCGAAAACGGAGGGGGGAGGGGCCTATTTCCGAGGAAAAGAATCTGAGAACTTAAAGAGAACAAAAAAGACACATAAATTGTAGATGGTCACAATTTTTCTTCGATGGGCTATATGGATATGCCCTATTAGCTTTATTTAAAATAAAGGAGGGGGTTGACCCTAAATTTGCCAGGAGATGCTTGAGGTCATCATTTTCTGTCCATACAATAAAATTATTACAAAGTTAGATGGGGCCTGGTCAGATCACTTTGAATGTTGTAGCATGCCGAGATCTTTGGAATGCACTAATTGCCATAATTACATAAACCTAGTGGCGTAGCTATGGGGGCGCACAGGGCAATTTGAAGTGGCAAAAAGAAGAAGAAACAAAGGCGACCCTCTCGCCGCCCCTAGTATTAATAATTGGTCTTTTTTAATTCGCATTTCATCTACTGAGTACGATGGTGCACCCCGATCGTAGTGCCCTCTTAATAAATATAACCATTGCCTACGCTTTGCCACTGCTAGTCTGCTACAACAACAATAAAACAACATGTATGAAAGTACATGTACTAAAAAGTATGAAGGGTAAAGAAAACGAATCTTTTTGTGGGCAGTTTTATGCAAATCATCATTGTCAGTGACAAAATAAGCATCGACATGATGGACACAGACGAACATCTACGTGTATTTAGGGAAAATAAATTGAGGCTCAGTTTGTTTAGACAGAATATTTCCGTTTCCATAACCGCATGGTTGTCTAGCTGGTCATCGACTCTTCGTGCAGACAATTATAAAAATATTTTACCTACCTAACAATGGCAACACGGCATAATAGGGAGACAAAATTATACATTGAACGTCTGGACAAGGATTTAAATGTAGATGTAGATGAAGATAAATCAGTTTAGGGATTCAGTCGATAGGGCTTTGTATGAATGCAAGACGATAAGTCGATTGAACTTTATTTCGTAAAGAAATTTGACAGCTTCAGTACGTGATGGGATTAATCAGGCTTGCAGAAGTATTTTTATTTTTAGTCATAATAGTCATGAGATTCTTGGCAATATTTTCATGCAGCATTATTGAAAGCATCGACATTAGCAGTGGGGTAGCATGGGCTCAAAAATTGAGTGGGGGGGGGGGGGGCGCTGGCATCATTTGGGCACCGGCCTTACTTGATATACAACACGTCCACCGACTGGATGATGGGGTGAGAGGGGTCCTATCACCCTTATCAATGTTCCATCCCCCATTCCCCAATATTCTTGACTAAAAGAATATCCCCGTTAATGATGACAATTATCAGTAATCATTATGACTGCGTTGTTCGTCAAATATCTGCATTGGATACACAGAGGGTCAAATGTCGTCAGTAAGAAAGTCTATAGGCAAGAAATGTATGAATATTTCGTATCGAGCGCCTGATGCTTTCGTCAGTGTGGAAGTCGTTTTGCTTTTGTATTAACTTTGAGGAACCCATCGAGTTTTATTTTGGGGGCACAACTGACGCCTTACCCTTCATACGACATACATGCTTGTCAGAAACGTTTGGATGTGTACCCCCCCCCCCCCCCCCCCCCCCCCCCCCCCCCCCGTTTCAAGTTTACAGAATGCAGGATCCGATACTTCCCAGCGTTGGTTTATTCTTG